GTGTTATCCACGTATGGGTGAGCCCACCAAAGTTTTTTCAGGTAAGTCATTAACTCGGGCATCTGAGAAGCTAGAAGGCTGAAGTCTTAAAAGGATGTTTCCCGTCTCAGTGGGTATTAATGAGCTCGAACCCTGTCCGCGGGTAAGCGTGGTACCTACGTACGGGTTCGTGAAAGTTTCTTTCGGGTAATTTCCTTACTCGGGAACGTGAGAAGCTACAAGACTGGAATTTTGAAGGGATATTTCCTGACAGTCCTGGAGGCTAGTCTGAAATTGTTTTAGACTGGCCCCCAGGACTGTCAGGAAGTACCTCAGCAACAAAAATCTGCGGGGAACTATGTAAAAATGCATCTTCGCACGAACAGCTCATGCGTTGGCCAGTTATTATTCATATATACTTCCCGTAGTCCAATGTCGTGGACAGAGCCTCTTTTTGCAAATGACGATGGAGACAAGGGGATCGAACTTGCCTCGCCCAGACAGTGTACAGATTTGTATTATCTTTTTTTATCGAATTTTTGCAGGATTCGACGACATTCAGATTTCTTAGTTTGTTATTGATTTTAGCTTCTTTCTACCAGTTTTAGGTATATTTTGAAATTAGTCAAACATACCTTCCACAGATCCGATGTTTCAGGTCGCACTATATCATAACGCTCGCCTTTCTTTGCCCCAAAATCAGCGCTTTTCTGCGTTTCGGCAGTGAATTTGCCATCGCCGCGAAGAATGTCGGAGCTCTTAGGTACAGATGTTGGGTATCGTTCACCTTTTTGAGCCGGATAATCGCGATGCGCCACAGAATCCACTTCTAATTTCCCTTCGTGCTGGAAATATTAACAGTAATTTTGTGACAAAATTATTAAGTTAAAGTGTCATCAGATTCATTCCCCAGCACAAAATTTCTGGCAGTCCTCGCCACAAGCTGTCTTACCTCATCCACCCAGATTACGGAAGGCTTTTTGTTGGGCTAAACAGAAGAAAACATTACGAAAGTAGCGGGACGCTTTTCGTGACAGCTGGTATAAATAAGAAATTTATTCGAAATTAAAAATCCCGCTTCTACTTTTTTACCACTCTTCTTTGTCTTGCCAGGAAGGCCAGGTTGCGATTACAGCCAAATCTCTGCGCATCTAGGATTTTTTACAATATTGTGTGTTGGCCTGACCTTCCACAGATCCGAAGTTTGTGGCCTTGTCGCTTCGTAGCGTTCTCCTTTCTTTGGTGTAAATTCGGTGCTTGTTTGCGTTTCGCTAGCAAATCTCCCATCGCCTTGCAAAATTCCCGACTCTTGCGGTTTACGTGTTGCATATCGCTCACCCTTTTTACGATCATAATCTTGATGCGTCACAGTTTGCGCAACCAACCTCCCGTTTTTCTTAAATCCGTCATTTATGAAGTCCAAGCAAATTTCTGAGACCGATCAAAGTTTTTTAATCCTAAAAGCCATTTTTACTTCGGTACTGTACGCGTCTTAGCAGCAATACCAGAATAGTCGAGGAAGTGTGTTTCTGAGAGTCCAGTGTTGGTGAGTGTTGTTCTTCAGTAATGCGTCTTTAAGCAAACAGGAACCCAGGCTGGAACGCACCGGGCGGGCCCGTGCGATCATGCGTTTTTGCACCAGACTTGAATTACTCAGGTCATTAA